AGGCTTAATTATGTATTTGGTATTCTCTTTTCAGATCATATTATTGGGACCTAGAGGCCCGGGGCCCAAAATTTGTGCAGGGGGGGCGGGGGGGGAATCCCCTCAGCCTGGCCTGTGCCCTCTCACAGTCCGGGAGCCCTCAGGAGATGTCCAACTGCCTTAGTGCTGCCACGGAGGTGAGAGAGGCTCCTGCCAGCGCCGCTGCGCTCACCAGCCATGAGCCCAGCTTCTGGCTGAGCAGTGCTCCCCCTGTGGGAGCGCACTGACCACCAGGGGGTAGCTCCTGTGTTAAGTGTCTGCCCCCTGGTGGTCAGTGCACATCACAGTGACTGGTCATTCTGCCATTTGGTCGATTTGCATATTAGCCTTTTATTATATAGGATACTTTTATCCATAAGGTTTCCTTTTCAAAGGAATCTTAAAAGGTTTTTCCATAAACATATGCTTCCCTCTAGTGGACACAGCTATGTTACTGACATATATATAAGAAACAGGAGTAGTTGATTAATAATGTACAAGGGGGTGAGGTGGGATGTGTGAGCGCTCCCTCGTGAAAGAAAGATCATCCTGGTATGATGACATCTGAACAGAGAAAAAGAAGTGACAGAGCAAGCTGAATGAATGGATACACAGAAGAACATCCCAAGAACAGGGATCCCTCAATAAAAAATGCTGGCTTTCTAAAACACAATCACTACTACATACTGGTTATGACAACTGAAAAAGATAAAAATAAAAGAAGGCAAAGTGTTGATTAAATGGAAATCAGAAATAGTCTTCTATGTAACTCCAAAATAAATCGAATCCAGATTTACCTCCTCTACCAGCTGGACACCATAATCCCTTTTAAATGGTTGAATGGTCACACCTCTTCCATTGACAAGCTGGGTTAAGTCAATAGGCTGAGTAGGATCAACTCGACCCAAATCAATAAGATACTGCAGTCTGTTGAGGCTCAAAGGCTGATATTGACGTCTGAAGCTACAAAACAAGAAAGTAAAGGTTGAAAAACTCAGTCAAACTTATCTTTTGTAAGTTCACCATATCAACTCAAAGCTCTGTCCTGTGTTTTCCTCCATCAATTCAGATGGTTTAACAAAATAAATCCCTCCTGAATACAACAAAAATATGTAATATTGCTTGATTTTTAGTAATGAAACAAAACCAGTACTTTCCACTAAAAATAATTTACCTCTCTAAACATTTATTTCACTCATTTACACAAATAAACAACTGTGGAAAATGTAACCCATTATCTGAATTATGCATTAATTATTGGATGACTACTATGGGCCACATTTTTATATATATTTTGCTAAGCCTCTGAACAGCCACAAAAGCAGGCATTTTCATCTCCATTTTGCAGGTCTGAGTGCAACGTCTGGGTTTTTTTTTTTCCTACTAATCCGGCTAAATTTCATTACCAAAAATGGTTCAGAGAAACAGTAGCAAAAGTTGGTTTCAAAGTGAATTTACATTTCTACCAAGCTATTTTTTTTAGGTGATTCTCAGTGAAAATTAGGGATTTTTACTTTACAAACCAAAAGGAACCTTACCTATGTCCTTCATTAAACCCATATTTGGGGATTCGGATGTAAAACGGGGTCTGGCCTCCCTCGAAGCCCAGTCGGGGCCGGGTTCCCCTCTGCCGTTCTCCTTTATGGCCTCGGCCACATTTTCTACCTCTTCTCCGACCTCTTGGTCGTCTTTCCTAAAACGAAAAAAGAGTTTTATAATCCACAGATGCATTTTTAAAAATTTATTTTACCTTTTCACTGTATATTTTGCATGCCATTTATTCATCCAACCAACCAGTACTAGCTACAATTCTAGCTGCTCTAATGTCTGCAAACTCTAAAGCAGTATCTTTGCTTCTGAAGTGCAGCTGATTCTTCTAAAGTCCAAGTTGTGTTTCAAAGGCAAGGATCCCAAGATGGAACGGGGATAGAGATTCTATGACAATCTGGCATTGAAAAAAACCCTAGAATTAAACATCCACAACAAACAAGGATACAGGATATTCAAGAAAATTCATTCTGCAATTAATTGTAAATATGTCATTGTTACCTACATTATTTTAAAGATTAACTTATAAAGAAAATACTATTTCCTGGCACCTCACAAAAGCAAGGATTGGTTTTCGAAATGACAGTATTCAGTGGTTTTCAAAAAGACATTTAATGTAACAAATCAATTCAAATCTTTCCCATGAAGACCAAAATATATTGGAAAAGCACTTCATTTTAAATCCAATTCTGAATAAAGCAATCATTTTTGCAGTTCTTGCGACTTCGCTCCTCCTCCCTAATTCACTTAATTATGCTTTTACTTTTATTTTTTTAATATATTTTTATTGATTTCAGAGAGGAAGGGAGAGGGAGAGGGAGAGAGAGATAGAAACATCAACGATGAGAATCATTGATTGGCTGCCTCCTGCAATCTGGGCATGTGCCCTGATCGGGAATGGAACTGGTGACCTCCTGGTTCCTGGGTCAATGCTCAACCGCTGAGCTACACCCGGCTGAGCTTAATTATGCTTTTAAATGTAAACCTTATGGAGAGTCGGGACCACGTGGGAAGACTCTGAGCAATGAAGGCTCCAGGGGCTCGGAACCCTAGGCTCATCCCCCGCCCTTCGGGAAAGGAGCCGTCCATCCGGCGCGGCCCCAGGGAAAGGCCGCTCTCCTCGCCCCGCCGCAGCGCTGCCCCGCACCGTCACCAGCCATTTACCGGTCTCTTGGAGCCTGGGTTCGGCCTTAGGTTGGCCAGACTCACGCGGGGCAGGGCCCGGATCAAGTCCAGACCCCTGGCCCCACCGCCTCCCGCGGGAGCCGCCATGACGCGCCGGCCGGGAACCAGCGCAGGTGCCCTCCGCCACCTCCGAGCCCACGTGATCTCAGGGCGCTGCTTTACGGCCGCCGCCCCGCCCCTGTCGTACTGCAGCGTCCGCGGCGCGGTCTGCCCCCGTCGCGCCTGGAACCTGGAGTCCGGCTTTTGGAGGAGGAGGGGGGAGTGTGAGCATGTGATCTTCTGTTGAGAGTTCGATCCTTGAGGTCGGACTTTTAACCTACGTCCTCTTGCGCCCCCACTAAATACGCTGTCGTTAGGGAATCTTTGAGTTTTTGGAGGGAGTCTTCTCTGAGCTCATACTGGAGCCCGGAATAAAATAACGCTCTTCTAAATGATTAGCTTTGAGCTTGGGTCATCGCATATGGTAAGATAAGAAAATAAAACTGAATATGTGCAAATAGGTACGGACAATTGTATGTTTTTAATATTTTTGGTCATTTTTACATGTTTTTAATGTTGTTTTTTAATTTAAATGAAAGATTAGGGTCCGGCTATTAAATGCCTGACTAATACCAGCCTGTGAGCAAGATTCAAACGAAGCGTCCTCTTCCGTATGCATCTCCATGGCTTTGACTGAGACACGGGGATACTGGCTTCACTTACTGTTAACAATGATAGGAGCATGCCGAGGCTTGGTAAGTAAATGTAGAGCACTGTGTTAAATTGGTCTTATTCGATTATCTGACTACACAACCATTGGTAAATGTCACAGGATTCCAGGGCAGGAGGGATAGAGAAACGGAGACGGCACAGTTAAAACAAGGCCAGACAGTGTGGGCAATTTGCAGCAATTTATAACTAACAAGCCATTATTTTCCCCAGCCAAGGACACTTGAGAGCAAATGGTTAAAAACCTCCCTAACAAGAGAATGCAGAAAGGGAGGGGGAAAGGAGAAAAGAAAAAAGGGCAGTTTTACTCCCTCAGCAGAGAAGCCAGCAGTCTCAGGCTTGGCAAGATAAAGTTGCCAGGTGCTTCTCCCGAATTCTGGGAGGCCACAACAAAGTAAAAAGGGACCTTGAGAATTAATCTGTACCAAAGTATTCAGCAAAGGAATATTGAAACCTATATCCCTGAAAAAGCAGTAACCTAACAGATAGACAAGAGGGTATATAACGCCTCTGACCCCCACCCAACTCGCTCTTCAAATTAGCTGAGAGCCTATCAGTGCTTCATAAACCAGGCGTATAGGTTTGCTTGCATTGCTTTCTCAATAAAGGTGCATGCTTTAATAAACTGGTTTTTCACAACACAGCCAAGATCTCTCGTATAAATTCACTTATATGAGAAGGCAAGGATTGAGATTGGGAACAGCCTTCTCCCACTGACTCAGGGCTATCTGGTAACACCTCTCTGGTGTCAGTGAGAGGTGCCTCAAGTCTAATAGTAAAGGTAGGTGCTAATACCCTTTAAGGCTTGGAAAGGTTGGTTGGGTAGCTTGACCAAAGCCTCACAACCATCAGCAGAGCCAGAATTGAAAAGTCCACTGCCTCCTATTATAAAACTAGTATTTTTTATAATATAAAAATTGAATATATGCAGCACAAAATTCCTAACATTTTTACTTTAAAAATGTCAGCTTCTCAATGTTTGTCTTAGGTAAGGGTTGTTAACGTAAAAAAACCATTGAAACCTGTAAAGAATTTTTGTGAGTTTATTTGAGCCAAACTGTCGACATATGCCGGGAAGCAGAACCTCAACGAATTGAGATAGTGCTCCCGAGAATGGCGGGGTTACAATTGTATTTATACATTCCAATCAAAGGAGGGACATAGGTGAGTTACATGAAATTCATTGGTGATAGATTAAGGAGGAGGGATAAGGCAAAGCGGGGAAACCTCTGGGATAGGACAAAAGGTAAAATGATGGACACATACTTAGGTGGGTGCAGGAACAATTAACATGATGATGAAGGAATTTGTGGTATCTGTCCTGGGACCCAGCACACCTGGCTGTGCCCCAGGGGCTCCATAAAAAGGGAAGTCACAAGTTACCCAGACATCCCAAGGATATGTTATCTTAGATGCAAAAAGACAGATATGCTCAGTTACGGTAAAGGTTGACCTTATCAGTGAAGATATCGGCTTAGGACGTAACTGCCCACCATAACTGCTTTTAGTTAAGGTTTAATTTCAGACCATCCTTTGTGGTTACTTTAGGTCTCCGAGTCTGCAAAACTGCCATGCAGGCCTCTCCTGAGCTTGTCAGGTCAGCATGTGGCCCCCTTTCATCCACAGGGTAATACAGAAGACCACCTTTTTCTTCTTTTTTGTTGTTCTTTTTATATTTCACCGTCTTCTGGGGAGTTTTTCCTGCTGATCCCTATTAGTGATCACAAATAGTAAAAGTGAGAAATAAATTTTTGGAGGGCAGTGTTGACAGAAGAAACATCCAAACCTATAGAGAATTTGTATAAGTTTGAGCCAAACTGATGACTATTGCCAGGAAGCAAAATTTCAAGGGGTTGAGAAAATGCTCAGAGAATGGCAGTTTTACAGCTTATTTTATACATTAGACTCAAAGGAAGAAACATGAGGGTTACATAAAATTTATTGGTGGTAGATTAGGGAGGCAGGAGAAAGCTAAGTGCGGGGGGGGGGGGGGATCTCTGACTTTGGATAAAGAGTAAAATGCAGAGATACATACTTCTTTTACATTGATGGATAGTTAACAATTTTTACGCTAATTTACAGCACGTAGACAAGGTATTCCGGGAACAAGATAACAATGAAGGATTCTGTGGTCTTGGGCTCTGGTGTGTGGGTGTGCCCTGAGGCATCTTGAAAACATTTCTCTGAATTCCAAGGGTATGTTATCTTAGATGCAAAAGGATAATAAAATAGACAGGCTTTTTAAGGTAAAGACTGGCCTTTGTCAAGGCCAGGATTGTACCTTCAACCTGGGTATGGGCCCTGTCTGGGAATTGAATCTGAGACCCTTCGGTGCATGAGACAACACTCCAACCAACTGAGCCTAACTGGCTGGGGCTAATTGTTTTATCAGTTTTTGACATTTATTCATTTATCTTATGATAGATGAAGATTTAGATAATTTGAACTATTTATTCCAGGATTTTAGTTCTCTCATGGTAAACAATGCAATTTAAATAATGTAAGTACTTTAAATATCCATTTATAGCAATGGTTATCAACCTTCCTAATGCCGCGACCCTTTAATACATTCCTCATGTTGTGGTGACCCCCAATTTCATTGTTACAAATAGAACATAATTAAAGCATAGTGATTAATCACAAAAACAATATGTAATTATATATGTGTTTTCTGATGGTCTTGTTATGCCCAGATTTCAGGATCCCCAAGAAACCACATCAGGGAGCCAGCCATGTCCGATGCAAAAGCATAAGAGTCTGTATTTCAAGCTAGCTTGAGCTCCCCGTCCACCACACTCAGCGACACAACAGCAAGCCAAGTGGCCGAGAGAGAAAACTCTGTATGGAGATGGGTTTTATAGGGGGTTGGAGTAAGGGGAGGAGAAAGGACTGTGCTCTGCCGATTGGCCAGGCACAAGTCGGTGTCTTGTTCCTGGGTGTGGCTAACAGAGTCTTAGACTTCCGGGAAGAAGCTCCTTGCCAAGCACGTGGCCAAGGTAAGATGGAGGGCGTAGCCCTTACCCTGGGGCAAGATGGAGGGCCTAGCCCTCGCCCTTTCAGTCTTAGGCGACCCCTGTGAAAGGGTCGTTCGACTCCCAAAGGGGTCGCGACCCACAGGTTGAGAACCGCTGATTTATAGGGCTTTTCAACTTTGTTTCAATTTTTTTTATTTTTCCATCACCACTTAACGTCTATGCACTCTTCCACCTCCACCCGTCCCCCCCAATCACCACACTGTTGTCCATGTCAAATCATACAAACTATAATGTCTGACCACAATGGAATTAAATTTAAAAAGAATAACAGGAAGATATCTGAAAAATCCCCATATACATGGGATCTAAACATATTACTAAATAACTCATGGATCAAACAAGAAATCAAGAAATTTTAAAATATTTTGAACAGAATAAAAATGAAAGCATGACATATCAAAATTTGTGGCATGGAGCTAAATAGGTCTTAGAGGGAAATTTATAGCATAAACACTCATATTGGGGGGGAAAGAGAAAAATCTCAAATCAATGGTTAAAGCTAAGAAGCTAGAAAAAGAACAAAATAAATCCAAATAAGCAGAAAAAGGAGAAAGATGACAAATCAATGAAAATAACAAAAAAGAGAAAATCTATTAAAAAAAAATGTTTGGTTTGAGGTCAAGGTAAATGATAAAGCTCAAGCAAGGCCAACCAGGATAAAAAAAGAAAAAACAAACTGCTAATATCAGGAAAGAGAGGAAGCATCACTATAGATCCTTCAAACATTGAAAGAGATGTGCGAATATAGTGGACACATTTATGCCAATAAATTCAGCAACTTCAATAAAATAAGCAAATTCTTTGAAAGCCACAAACTATCCTAGCTGATTCAAGAAGCAAGAGACAGGACTTCTGGAATGGTGGTGTAAGGATTTGGCAGAACATTCCACCAATGAAACAATCACTTCAGTGGTAAAAATCTTTTTTGATATTTAATTTCTTTGTAAATTGTTCTGACATAGAGCAAATGAAGAAACATTTATTCAAGAAAACCTAATAAGTCTTGGTAAGAACAGCAAGAGTCTGTGCCAGTTGAGCCATGTCCCACTCCTAACACCACCAGCCCTCCCCCAGCTTGGAAAGATAGAACTCTACTTTTGGCAGCTATGAACAAGAAGATGGGATTTCTTCCCTCCTCTTAGCTCCCAGACTAGGGTGACAGTTTTTCCCTGGGAGAGTAGGCTACTGGCATCTCTAATACTCTCAGCTTTGGGTTACAGAAGCTCTATTCCAGGCAAGTTCAGCCAAAAGAGCTGAAGCCCTTTTACTCCAATTCGCCCTTACTCTTAGAGTGGAAGCTATACCATGGCTGGTGCCAGGTGGGAAATATTGGGCCCGGAGAGCCCATGCCCCAGCTTGCTCATAGGATGCAGGTTTCATGCCAAGAAGGATGTATGGGCTGAATTGTGTCCTGCAAAATTCGTATGTTGAAATCTTAACTCCCAGTACCTCATGATGTAATTGTATTTGGAGAAAGTGTCTTTCATAAGGTAAGTTAAAATGGGGGCACTAGGGTGGGCCATAATGCACAATTACTCATGTCCTGATAAGAAAATGATATTTGAACAAAAACCTGGATAAAGGAAAGACATTGTGAAAACACAGGAAGAAGATAGTCATCCACAAGCCAAGACGAAAGGCCTCAGAAGAAACCAACCCTGCCAACACCCTGTTCTCAGACTTCTCACTGTCAGAATCGTGGGAAAAATAATTTATGTTGTTTAAGCCACCCAGTCTGTGGTATTTTGTTATGGCAGCCCTAGAAAACAAATACAGATTTTGGTACCAGGAAGTAGGGTGTTGCTGTAAAAAATTCCTGAAATTGCAGAACTGGGTAATGAATTAGAAAAAGAAACCAAAACTAAAGTTTAGAAAATTCTCAGCATATCCATATTGCAAAAATTTGAGAAAGCATGTTCTGGAAAGAACATCAAGGCTGGATAATCATTCACAAGGGGAGCCCAACAATAAATTTGAACTGAAAGATGGAAGAATCAGAAAATAGTAAATGTAGATTGATAGAGATTATGAAATATGGGGAATGGAGAGGAAAAAGAATGAATAAATCTGAACAGAGCCTTAGAGAGTTGAGGGACGCCATTAGGCACGAAAACATATGTGTAATGGAAGTAACAGAAGGAGAGGAGGGAAAAAAGCAGAGAACTATTGACTACATACTGACTGAAAACTTCTGAAATATGATGAAATCATTACATATACAAGAAGTTTCATAAAATCTAAGTGGGATAAATTAAAGGAAGTCTACACCCAGACACATCAAAATCAAGTATTGAAAGCTCAAGGTTTATATCAAAAGGAATTAAAAGCAGGGACTCAATAATTGTATGCCAGTGTTCATTGCAGCATTGTTCACAAAAACCAAAAGGTTGAAATAACCCAGCGTTCTCAACCTGTGGGTCGCGACCCCTTTGGCGGTCAAACGACCCTTTCAAAGAGGTTGCCTAAGACCATCCTGCATATTAGATATTTACATTATGATTCATAATAGTAGCAACATTACAGTTATGAAGTAGCAACGAAAATAATTTTATGCTTGGGTCACAACATGAGGAACTGTATTTAAAGGGCCAGAAGGTTGAGAACCACTGAAATAACCCAAGTGTCCATCAAGAGATGAATGAATAAACAAAATGTAGTGTATAATGTAGTGTATAATACAAGTGTAATCTTAAGAGGAAATGAAGATCTGCTACATGCTACAACATGGATGAATCTTGAAAACAAGCTAAATGAAATAAGCCAGATACAAAAGGACAAATATTGTATGTGTCCACTTACATGAAGTTCCTAAAATAGGGACATATATACAGACAGAAAGTAGATTAGACATTGATGTGAGACAGAAACATAATTGGTTGCTTCCCGTACGTGTCCCAACACGGGGATCAAACCCACAATCCAGGTTTGTGCCCTGACCAGGAATCGAACCAGCAACCTTTTCGCTCATAGGACAACACTTAACCTACTGAGCCACTCTGGCCAGGCAAGCCAGCACTATCCTGATACCAAAACCAGATAAAAACATTACAAGAAATAAACAAACAAACCTATAACCTAATACCCCTGGCCAACATTTGTTATCTACCTTTTTTATTATAGTCATTCTAGTAAATGTGAAGTGGTATTTCATTTAGTTTTAATTTGAATTTCAACAGTTGCTTAATATGAGCGTTTTTTTATGTTTGTTGGCCATTTGTATATCTCCTCTGGAGAAATTTCTATCTAAATCTGGGAAACCATTGTCTATTCCAAGGTCACAAAGATTTAAACCTTTGTATTATTCTTCAAAGAGTTTATAGCTTTGATCCATGTGTGTAAATTTTGTATGTGGTGTGAGAAAGCTGTCCACCTCCATTCTTTTGTGTGTGGATATCCAGTGGACAACTGATTTTTGACAAAGATTCCAAGGAAATTCAAAAGGAAATGATAATCTTTTGAATAAATGGTGATAGAAAATTGGATGACCATATGTAAACTAAAACTGGACACCCATCTCAATTATTATTTTATGCCATATGCAAATATTAGTTCAAAATGGGTCATAATAAACATCTTAAACATAAAAGCTGCCAACCTTTAAAAACAAAAAAGTAAGTGGTTTAGCCAGGGAAATTGAGTTTCCCGTATAGCAGAGGAATTACAGTTTGGAACATGC